TAATTTCTTGACGACCTAATACATAGTGTGAGAAAAGCGGGAACAGCAGATAGACAGCAAACGAGTATCGGACGCTCAAGTTACAACTACGGTAACTCAACGAGGCAACATAAGTGAATTATACCCTGATACTGTTGTGAGAAAAAAGAGAGAAGAAAAAGAATAAGTGGATTATACACTCATAGTTTTAAAAGAAAAATGGTACAGCTTGTCAACTGAATTTTAAAGCAATTGAATTGGCCAAAGTGGACTTTTGACAAGAAGGAAGAGAACTGTACAGAAATTAAGATAAAACTATGATGTACATAGTGTAAAGAATTGTTGCACATATATTTAACTTGTATTGAATATAATTATAGAAAAGCAAGTGGAGTGCGTGTTTTTTGTTTATTTTGTCATCTTATCGCCAACAAGTCACAGACACCTACTGTAGAAGAATCCTTAGCCCAATACATCCATATACGTAACTAACTATATACATATACTAAAAAATAAGTAAGTATCTGACAAACACCTTCTGTTGATGTGTTAAAATAACACACCACTACATATCGATAGAACACATTCTGTTGATGTTTTAAAATAACACACCACTACATATCGATAGAACACATTCTGTTGATGTTTAAAATAACACACCACTACATATCGATAGAACACATTCTGTTGATGTGTTAAAATAACACACCACTACATATAGATAGGACACATTCTGTTGATGTGTTAAAATAACACACCACTACATATAGATAGGACACATTCTGTTGATGTGTTAAAATAACACACCACTAAATATAGATAGGACACATTCTGTTGATGTGTTAAAATAATACACCATTACATATTGATAGAACACATTCTGTTGATGTTTTAAAATAACACACCACTAAATATAGATAGGACACATTCTGTTGATGTGTTAAAATAACACACCACTACATATAGATAGGACTCATTCTGTTGATGTTTTAATATAACACACCAATTTGTATCGATAGAACACATTCTGTTGATGTGTTAAAATAAAGGACCACCATATATATAGATGGAAAATATCCTGTTTCTGTTTTAAAATAAAGAACCATCATACATAAATGGAAAATATCCTGTTCCTGTTTTAAAATGAAAGACTATGTTGAGAACAAAATTTACTGATGTTATAAATTAAAAGACCATTACATACTGAAAGAACATGTTCTCTTGGTCTTTTACAATAAAAGATTACATTACGTCAAGTGAACACATTCTCTTGATGTTTTAAATTAACGACCGCTAAGTATCAATGAAACACAATGTCGTGATATTAAAATACACCTAAAATATTAATGGAACACATTCTCTTAATGTTCTTCGTTATTTAAATGCTTTAGAAGTGCTCCCTGAGCTTTGTTCTCTAGATGTGTCAAGGGTGTTCCTTCGGCTTTGTTCTCTAGATGCTTTAAGGGTGCTGCTGTGGCTTTGTCTTCTGGATGTTTTAGAGGTGCTCCTATGGCTATGTTTGAGGTTGCTCCTATGGCTACTTTCTGTAGATGCTTTAAGGGTGCTGCTACGGTTTTGTTCTCTAGATGTTTTGAGGCTGCTCCTATGGCTACTTTCTCTAGGTGCTTTAAGGGTGCTGCTGTGGCTTTGTCTTCTGGATGTTTTAGAGGTGCTCCTATGGCTTTGTTCTCTAGATGTGTTAAGGATGTTCCTTCGGCTTTGTTCTCTAGGTGCTTTAAGGGTGCTGCTGTGGCTTTGTCTTCTGGATGTTTTATAGGTGCTCCTATAGCTATGTTTTCTAGATGTTTTGAGGTTGCTCCTATGGCTACTTTCTCCAGATGCTTTAAGGGTGCTGCTACGGTTTTGTTCTCTAGATGTTTTAGAGGTGCTCCTATGGCTATGTTTTCTAGATGTTTTGAGGTTGCTCCTATGGCTACTTTCTCCAGATGCTTTAAGGGTGTTCCTAAGGCTTTGTTCTCTAGATTTTTTTATATGTGTGTACTCCTATGGCTACATTTTCTTGATGTTTAAAGGGTGTTCCGATGGCTATGTTTTCATAGGTAAACAAAACCATAACAGAATATAAGTAGAACTCCTTTTTAAAAAAAATAATAAAATATCGACTGAGAGATGTAAAAGATGTAAATTATCAAAATAGTCATTGAAGCAAAGATCAACAATTATTAAAAGTTCAATTCTCACCATAATGTGTATCTACCTTTGGTCATTTATTGAATGAAAATTTTCGTCATTTTATGAGTGATTGGAATTATGTAAACAAATTAGAAAAAAAATTGTAATTTTAAAATTCAATCATAAGCTCTGAAACTAATAATCAGTTAAGAATAATAAAAAATATTTCTAAAACAAAAGCGATCCTCTATCTTTCCTGAATGCTGATATGCATAATGTGAATTGCATTAAGATGTGTCTCACTCTCTCTTTCTCTCTCGCTTTTTATATACAGTAGATGTATATAATATTCCAACAACGTAAAAAATGCAAATAAGTAGCCTTGTCTAAAGATTAGTTTAAATACAAATCTTAGGCCTGGCATTTGTTTGTTTGTAATTAAGCACAAAATTACACAATGAACTATCTGTGCTCTGGCCACCACAGGTATCGAAACCCGGATTCTAGCTTTGTAAGTACGCAGAAATACCGCTGTGTCACTGGGGGCAGGCCTGGCATAACCAGGTGATTAAATAGCTCGACTCGCAATCTTTGGGTCGCGGGTTCGAATCCCCGTCCCACCAAACATACTCAGCTATTCAGCCGTAAGAGCGTTATAACGTGACGGTCAATCCCACTATTCGCTGGTAAAAGAGTAGCCCAAGAACTGGCGGTAGGTGGTGATGACAAGCTGCCTTCCCTCTAGTTTTTCACTGCTAAATTAGGGATGGCTAGCGCAGATAGCTCTCGTGTAGCTTTGCGCGAAATTCATAGTAGTTATAATAATATAAAATTCATGATACACTGTACTAGGTCTATAGAGAATATTAATTTACATTATCTCTCTTTTTATTTCTATTTGTCTTTTTTAAAATTAAGCATAGCCGCGTATTGGTCATTAAATGTATAAATCTTGCATTTTTACCATGTTTTACAAAGACGCCAGTTTCAGCTTCATGAAATACATCGGTTTGCGTTTTCTGAAAGTTAAAATAATATAGTTTTGTAATAATTAAAATAGCAAGTCTAGTGAAATAATATTCCAGTCATTTTATATCTTAAAGACTAATAAATAACTTAAATTAGTTTTCAAAATTTAAAACATACACAGAGAACATTTTGGGAAGGGGATTGAGGATTCGTTACATATATCTATCTTGAAGTGAAACCTTGAATCGTAATTTATAGGTTTATATTAAGCAGCACTGTTAACGAGAATATTTAATCTCATTATTTGCAGGAATGACAGGTAGTATATTCTGGGCCGCCACCCTACTTTGAAAAATACGTTACTCAGTGCATTTTTACTTGTTTATAGGGTATTCTTAACACTCCTTGTTAGTGCAAACTGCTGTGTTTTCATTTTATTCTTAAAATATAATTTAATCACATAAATGAAGGGTGTACGTATGCATATATATATATATATATATATATATGTGTGTGTGTGTGTCTGTAATTACGCATTCTATAGATGGAGCTACTGAATGATGACTAAGACTATTGACAAGCTGGTACTTATGGAACGACGAAAGCTGTGAACTTTAACCTGTGTGTAACTTTCAACAGTTAAGTTAAAAGGTTTCCGTACTTTCACAGTTGAAAAGAAAAGGTAATATATATATTTACACGATTATATATATGTATATATATATATATATATATATATATATATGTGTGTGTGTGATAATAAACTTTTAAATAT